AATCGTAGTGAAACATATAACACACAACATTTCACCACGGTTGCAGATTCTAACCAAGGTGACATATACATTTTAGTCTAAAAAATTGATTAGTGTGAATTATTTTTAAAATATAACTTAATTTTTTAAATTATTATTTTCTAATTTAATATGACAGGTTATATGTTTAGTGAAAGGTTGATAAAACACTCAATCCATATATGATATAACAAACTCAATTATATCTTCTATCAATTTATTGTGCTCTAGACATGACAACGAATAAACAACAATAACATAACAACAAATATAAACACAAAACAACAACATTACTAACAAAAACCACAAAATTACAATAACATTTTACTTATCTCAATCAAAATAACAATATAACTCAACAAAAACATCAACATTAACAAAAATCTTTTACTTGTATCTTACATTTTACCACAATTGTTAATTTAGACAATGGGAAAAATAGTTTAATTTTTATTTAAAAAAATTAAAGAAACACACTCTTTTTGTATTTAAAAAAAAACATAAATTTATTAGCGGTGAGATTCAAAATGTATTATTCCTTCACATTTTATTATGGTTGTTAATTTAGACCGCGGAAAATTTTTACTTAAAAAATATGCATAATCAATAGATATTACTTCAATAAGATAAATGACCATGATAAATAACTAATACAAAATATATAATTTGTAGTAGTGGGATTCTATCTGTGCAAAAAGGTCTTGCATTAACTCTCTCTTACACACTCTTATCCATTCAATAGTGACATATTTCTTTTAAAAAAATATTATCAATGTTTTTCTGAATCTTACTAATCAAAATCATTGCTAAAATGAAGCAAAAGATAATATTAAATAAATCAATGAAATTTCCATATTTCATATGCCTTAAGGATTTATTCATTTTATATGTTTACCTTATGCATAAATATGCTATCCTTGAGACGTTATTCCTACAATATTATTTCTCTTTTTTATACTTCCCTTTCTCTTTATGAAAAGGCTAAAGTAAAATGTGACATTGAATAGCCCACAAGAAGAAAAAAAGAAGAAGAACTCTACTCATTGCTAAATTTTTTTTTGTGGAAATTTTATAAATTTAAAGTGGTTAATTGGATAAGCTGAAAGAAAAAACACACCACATAAATATATTTAAGAGACACTTAACAACTATTCTAATTTTTAGAAGGGTTTTTTGTAATTCTATAAATGCCAAAAACAATATTTGTTTTCTACATCCTAAAGTGATCAATATTTGTTTTCTTCTTGCATACAAAAATAGAAAAATATGACTTATACTCTCATGTTTGTGTATGCTGTGACTCTATTACTTTGTCTATTACTAGTTGAATGTGAAGCACACTGTAAGAATTTTTTCTAATCATTTAAATTTTTTAATATAATCATATAAAATCTTTTTCTTCACTTTATGAATAATTTTTTCCATATAATATCACTTACTTATTCTTGTTTTCAACCACAGATGGTCCTTTTTCTTGTCTGACTGATAAGGATTGTCCTCGTCGTAAATGTGCTGCTCCTCATGTTTGGAAGTGTTTTTGGAATGAATGTGTTTGTAAAAAGCAATAATTTTAGTATTTACTAAGCCTATAGTTTTACTTGCATAATATATCAGTGTCAATCTTAAAATAAAAGTTTATATTATCAAAGTGTTGTTACATTGCTTTTGTTTAAGAAGACGTGCACAATTATAGTGTAACTGCATAGAATTACCTATTTTAAAAAATAAAACCAAAATGATTGTGTAAAATAACTACCTTTATTTACTACTAAATTTAGCATAAGAATAGCATGCAATGAATAATTTAAAAAATTATTTGTATATTCCAAATGCTCTCTTCTTTCTTCTATTAAACACGTTTCTTCAATGCCCAAATCTGCCACCTTTTTTCATTTCACCACCCCATATCTGCCACTTTATATTTGTACTTAGAAGCCATCACAAACAAACTTGAAAAAAATCACATTTAGAGTATTTTTTTTTAGTAAATTAAGATATTTTTTGTGGGTGCAAAGTAATTTGTAGGATTTAAAAAATATATAGTTGATTTGAGTTAGTTTTTACATTAATGATAATTGCTTATAAAAAACTAAAACTTGATCTTATATTTTATATTTTTTAGTTGCAATTATTTTTTTTATTAAAGTTACAATTAATTTAATTATTTTAAATAAAATACATAAAATATTCATTATTTTTTAAAAAAAATATATTAATTATTAAAGTTGCGAAAGGTACTTTAATAAATTTTGCCCAAAAAAGTTGTAAATAATAAAAATTGTATTTTTTTTATAAAATTAACAACAATAATACATAAAAAAAATTACATTTTCATAGGAATATAAAATAATACATGATAATAAACAACAAATTACATTTTAACAGAAATACAAAATAAGACAAAAACTAACTTTCATTATTCTCATGACCAAATCTCTCCCAAATATGCTCCACTAAAAGTCTGCTTGAAGTTGACGATGATTTTTTCTTTGATGAGCATGTGCTATCCTTTCAAACAATGTTGTCAAATTTGGATCAGGACCAGTAGAGACTTCAGTTGTGGAGAAATTATTATCAACGTGGTCGTAATCAAAATTACCAGCATATGTGTCTCGCTCATCTTCGACAATCATGTTATGCAATATAATACATGCTAACATTATGTGTTTCATTGTATTCACGTGTCAAGCACGCGCTGGACCATGTACAATAGCGAATCGGGCTTGGAGCACTCCAAATGCACGTTCAACATCTTTATGTGCTGATTCTTGTCATTAGGCAAATAACTTTATCTTTTCTCCTTGCGGCATAGGGATGGTCTTGACAAATTTCGCCCACTCAGGATAAATGCCATCTGCTAGATAGTACCCTATATGATATGTTGTTCGATTCACCGAGTATTGCATTGCAGGAGCTTTTCCATTCAAAACATTATTAAAGACATCAGATGTGTTTAACACATTAATGTCGTTGTTAGAACCTACAGTTCCAAAATATGCATGTCAAATCCACAAGTCTTAAGATGCCACAGCTTCAAGCATAATTGTGGGTTTACCATGATCACCTCTAGAAAATTTATCTTTCCATGCGACAGGACAATTTTTCCATTCCTAATACATACAATCAATTGAACCCAACATACCTGGAAAGCCGCGTGCAACGTTAATTTGTAGTAGGCGTGCAATGTCTTCATTGTTTGGCCTTCTCATGTATTGAGCACCAAATATTGTGCACACGCCTATTACAAACTTGTCTAAGCACTCTAATATCGTGCTTTCTCCAATTCGGACATAGTCATCCACACTGTCAGCTGGTGATCCATATGCTAAAATACGAAGAGCAGTGGTGCACTTCTGCAATGGTGAAAGACCCATTCTACCCATTGCATCAATCCTTCTTTGAAAGTACTCATCATGATTTCCAAGAGCTTCAACAATGAGAAGGAACACATGTCTTCGCATACGGAACCTTCATCTGAATTGTTCCTCTGTATATACAGGATTTTTAGAGAAGTAGTCATTGAACAATCGATTATGCCCTTCTTCACAATTTCGATCTATCATCGTTCTTCTTTTTCTATGCTTACTTGTGTTGTTGGCTTGTTCTTGCGCCTCTCATACTAACCTTATCACATCTTCCTCAGTGTTGTCGTTAAGACAATCATCTACGACTTCATTCCAAATTTTATCCCATTCAGCATTTGGATCCATGGAAGATATGATAATAATAATAAAATGGGAGAACATGTGAGGTATATATATATGCTATTTTTTTTACAACGGCTAGTTTTTAATAACGACTAGTTTTACAACGGCTAGTTTTATAACGGCTAGTTTTTTATAACGGCTAGTTTTATAACGACTAGTTTTCAACGACTAATTTTTTAACGGCTAGTTTTTTATAACGACTATTTTTTTTATAACATTCATTTAGAACAAAATTACAATAATATGAAATGCATATTTAAACCTAAACAACAACATTAACAACAACAATAATAATAATAATAATAATAATAATAATAATAATAATAATAATAATAATAATTAGAACAAAATTACAATAATATGAAATGCATATTTAAACCTAAACAACAACATTAACAACAACAACAATAATAATAATAATAATAATAATAATAATAATAATAATAATAATAATAATAATAATAATAATAATAATAATAATAATAATAATAATAATAATAATAATAATAATAATAATAATAATAATAATAATGACAATACACCTAACTTTTCTTGAAGTACTTCTCCTTGATACTTTGACAAATTTCTTCATGCTCTCGACGTTGCTCATCATCCATTGCTGATTTGTCCTTCATGAGAATTTCATACAACACGGGAATGCTCTCTGCCAACCATGCTTCAGCTATTTTACTATAGATAGCTAATTTCTTTTCTGAGGCATTTTCCATGCCAGTCAAATCCACTGTGGGTGTTATAGATGGAGATGCTTTCCCCTTGCCTTTTCTTTTTGCCGCCTTTTGTCCCATTGGACGGTCGGTCTGAGTTGCGCTATTATATTCTCAACAATCTATGGGATTTTCTGGATTAGATGTCGATGAATATGTCCCGGTAGAGGATACCTTTGATCTCTTTGAAGAGTTGTTCATTTCTTGTCCCTTCCATTTAGGCTCATCCTTCAACAACCTCCATGCGTGCTCCATTGTGAAACGTTGATGACGTACTTGTACAAAAAGTTTACGGGCCTCATCCATGACGTTTGTCTCTGACTGTCCACTTTTCTTGTTAGCAACAGCTAGTTTGTAGTTGCCGCAAAACCATTGACAATGTTTATTCAATAGATGCCATCGAGATTTGAGTGTAGACCACTCTTTTTCTATAAGTGGTCCATGATAGTTGTTATATCCATCTTTGATTCTACTCCAAAAACTATCTACTTATTGGTCAACTCCAACAACTGAATCTTTGGAAATGTTAAGCCATGTTTGAATAAGCAATTTATCTTCTTCTTCTAAGAACCTGAGACACTGTTTTTTTTGGGTTGAACGTTCTCCTTCTTTTGCAAAAGTAATATTTTCTAGACCCTCTTGAGTGGAGAACACTGGCACTTGAGAGTCGATAATCTGTAGTTGACCCGATTGTTGATTCTGATTCAATATTAGGAGACTCTACGACGTCGTTGGTACCCATTGAATGCGTATATTGGCTAGTGATGTTGGTTGGTGGTGGTTGAAACATAAAAGGTTGGGGATATTGATAATTGTTGTCGGAAGAGAATGGTGGTGATTGAAACATAAAAGGTTGAGAATTTTGAGAACCGTCACCAATAGGGAGCGATGGTCGTGGACACATTTGAAAATTTTGAGAACCGTCCCCAGTAGGAGTTTGTAAATAATTATAATAAGGATTCATTGGTTGGGATCCATTTGATAAATTAAATATGATTGAAAATTAAAGAAGAAAAAATTAGAAGGTATAATTGTGTGTAAAAAAATTACAAGTTACTACATAGTATTTATAGGAAAGTAAATTTTTTTATAACCGTTATGATTTTCAAAAAATATATAACCATTATGATTTTTCAAAAATATATGACCGTTGTTTTCAAAAAGTTACAAGACTTTAATAATATAAATAATAATATTATATGTTTCAAAATAAATAGCATACGTTAACTATATAATTGTCAGAAACTAAAAGTTAGTGAATTAAATGTCAAGTCATAGTCATTCCAATGCAAATTCTTTATAATCATCGTTAACTATAAAAAATTTAACTATTAAAAACCTGCATTAAAGATGCTCTTATAGAAGTTAGACAAACCCATCTGTCATTCCAAAAGTTAATACATCTTTGATTGCTTAACTTGTAAGAGCATCTTTAATGTAGGTTTTTAATAGTTAAAATTTTTATAGTTAACGATGATTATAAAGAATTTGCATTGGAATGACTATGACATAGCATTTAATTCACTAACTTTTAGTTTTCGGCAATTATATAGCTAACGTATGCTATTTATTTTGAAACATATAATGAATATTTTATGTATTTTATTTAAAATAATTAAATTAGTGGTAACTTCAATAAAAAAAATAATTACAATTAAAAAATATAAAATATAGGGTCAAGTTTTAATTTTTTATAAGTAACTATCATTAAAATAAAAACAACTCAAATCAACTATAAATTTTTTAAATCCTACAAATTACTTTGGGCCAACAAAAAATATCTTAGTTTACCCACTTAAGATACTCTCACTGAAGATACTCTAAGTGTCAAGTCCACATAACTTCCTTAAATCTCACCACTAAAGTGAGTATTTTTTTTCTATTTCCAACTCCACTGACATTCAATTTTTTTTCTTTGATTGCACCATACCTAAAATTGAGCAAATTAAACTAGACTCATTACAATCATTAAGAATCCACCAACACCATTTACTCAATAAAGTGATGTTAAATCTTTTGCAATTCTTGACTTTTAATCCTTCATCATTATTAGGCATATAAAATTTTCTCCAATTGACCCAATTTATTCTCTTTCTTTCTTCAGTCTCACTCCAAAAAAATGCTCTATAAACATTTTGTTAGTAAAATTGATTTAAATCAAAATAGATTGAGACGAGAATCGTAAAAGAAATTACTTTCCTTAAAAGTATTTCAAGCACTCTCTTATAGTATTAGAGTTGGAACGCAAAAATACGCAGGATAATTCAACCTTCGAATCAAATCTGCACAACACTAGTGAAGATTTGAATGCAAGAAGAGTGTCTAGAATTATGTGAAGAGGATGCACAACTTTTTTTGCTTGTTATATTTTTCGAATTCTGAATAATGTGTTTATAGGTCATGCATGTGTTATTTCACAAGGTTGTGATTCTTAATAAAACAACACCTTTTTGTCATAAGTTTGCAATGGTTCGCATATGGTTACATTGTGCACCACTTCATATGATTACATTATGCACCACTTCATGAAGTGTTGCATATTTCAAATTCAAAATTCAAACATTAATGCATTTGTTGTCAATTTGTCATTAACTCAATTACACACATATTATCACATTGAAACATTCCCATGGGCATTGATTGTCCAAAATTTCCAACAATCTCCAACTTGTTGTAATAACGACAAGTCTAATTCCAGAAAAGGAGGTATAAAGAATGTTAATTCAGTTAGGTATCTTTTGATTTAAAACTTAACCTTAGCGAGAACAATGCAAAGTCTAACCGAAATGTTAGGTAGCGATGCTTTTAAAGAATTAATCCATATGATTAGACCGTCGTTACCTTACACACATTATTTAAGGGTTATTCCCCTACATATCTCTCCTAACACTTATTTATGGTCATGTGCTTTCATGTTTTATGAATTTTTCGTGAAAGAAACTCTAACTCTCACTTTGAGATATTACCATCTCGAAATTCACATAGGTGACGTTCATATTGTATCATTTTTCATTAAATAATTATTCTCGGTATTGAACTTCATTAAGAGTTTGGAAAAAAAAAAACTCAACCCTCAATTTTAAAACAGTCAACATTATTATGAAATGTTCAACAAACATTCAAATCAACGACTTGTTGTTACCCATTGAATCTTGAGGTTATATTTCGTAAACATAAGATTGGGTTGCCGCTGCTGTTGGAACTCTTATTCAAGGAGTTTAAACCTCATACTTCTCGAGTTTGTCTTTACTAAGTCTCTGACTAGTGGCTTAGTAAATAGATCAGCCAAATTATAATTTGATCGTATGTACGTGAATGAAATGATTACATCCTTAATCAATTTTCTCACGAAAGAATGTCTAAGTTCTACTTGCCTAGACTTTATTTTATACACTTTTTGTATACTCTAGGTAAAGTGGCTTGACTACCACAATATTTCAACACCTTCGAAACATTGTCTTTAGCCAATGGAACTTTCAACAAAAGGTTCCTCAACCATTCAGCTTCTTCACCAGCGGAAGCAAGATCCTCAAACTCTAATTCTATGATCGAAAGAGTGATCCATATTTGTTTCTTCCCTCTTCCAAAAAATTGCACCCTGAATAGTGTAAGTATCCATATAAATGCAAATTTAATGATATTCAATACTTGATATCAAGATCGCATCGGTATATCCTTCTAATATGACAAGAAATCTACCATAATGGAGACTAAGATTTTTGGTTTTTATAAGATATCCAAAAATCCTAATGATGGCCTTCTAGTGCTCACCATTTAGATTTCTATTATAATCTACTCATTTTACTAAGTGCAAGTCTTATGTCGAGTCTAGTACATTGCATGCACTTGCATATTTCAATCGAGTCACAACTCTTCCATCATTCTTTTGATGTTTGACACTAGGATAAAATGGAGTACTCACTTTCTTGTAAGTGGTTTGAACTTTTCAAGTACTTTTTCAACATAATGTGTTTGACTAAGTTCATAACCACCACTATTTCGCTTTACTTTGATCCCTAAAAATGCGTCAACTAGTCCAAGGTCATCCATCTTGAATATGGAAGTTATAAACCTTTTTGTTTCTAAAATTACTTCATTTAATTACTAATGATCAATATGTCATAAACATAGAGACAAAGGAATATCACAATGTTCCCACACAACTTTGTGTACAAACATTTGCCACAAGAATTAGATGAAGAATGTTTTTAGGTAATCATGCATGATGATGCAAGAAGTTTCTTCGATGAAGTGAGAGATTAAATTATAAGCAATCTAAAAGTAATATAGTATGAATTGCAATGAGTTACCATAGTTATGTTCACTCGTCTCAAATCTTCACTTGAATTTCTATGTTCAACCTATTGATCAACTTCATCATTGATGTGCATGACACATTTGATCCTTTTCTTTTTTGATAATCTTTGTCTTTATTAAAATTGAACTAGATATAAGATGTACTTCTTGCAATCTCTCACTTTTGATGATGAAAAAATATTTAAATTTATATTGTGATAATGATTGAAAAATCTCTCCTTAAGTTGTGTGTCTCCCCATTAATTGGTGAACCTTTCAGTGACAGAGCCAATCTTTTAATGTCATTGTGTCCGCGCTTATTTTAATCCATAAAGGGGTTTAACAAGCTTGCACACATTTTGTTCATTACTAGAAAGTATATAACCTTCCAATTGCTCCATATAAATCTCTTCATCGAGATCTCTATTTAGAAATATTATTTTGACATCTATTTGATAAATTATAAGGTCATGTAAAGAAGCTAATGCAAACAATACTCTAATTTTCGTTGTACTTGCTAATAATGCATATGTGTCGATATAATCAACACTTTCATTTTGTCTAAAACTCTTGGTCATTAATCTAGACGTGTAGGTGTTTAGCGTACCATCACTATGGTTACTTCCTTCTAAACACCCACTTGCATCCACTGTGTCTTGATCTTTAGGTTGATCGGCAAGTTTTTAAGTATGGTTTGACATTATTGAATCCATTTCATGTTAGATAAAATCCTTCTAAAAAGAGGAGTCCCTTAAAATTAGTGTTTCCTTATAAGTCTTAGGATAATCTTTCACTTGAATAACAATAATAGGAACATTATGAACAAAATTCTCATTATTTATTTCTACTAGATAAAAGAAATAAATTTATTATTGATTTTGTTCAGTCTTAGATCGTTAACCTTTCAGAATGTCTTGCTTATTCTAAGTTCGGGTTATTTTTTCAACAATCCATGATGAACTTTCAGTTTGTGTTTCAACAATCCGGAGCAGAACCTTCCTCATGAGGTTCTTCATTAATTGGAATCTCATATTCATATCCTTCATTATGAGGTTCTAAAGAACTTCACATTTCAAAACTCAATGATTTCATTAATTAGACTCCAAATTCAAAAGTCTATACGCTTTAATGTTAGGTGAGTAAGCTACAAAAATATATCTCTGCTCTCTCTCTCTCTCTCTCTTCTCTCTAGCTCTCTTCTCTCTCTCTCTTCTCTCTCTCTCTCTCTCTCTCTCTCTCTCTCTCTCTCTCTCTTCTCTCTCTCTCTCATCTCTCTCTCTTCTCTCTCTCTCTCTCTCTCTCTCTCTCTCTCTCTCTCCTCTCTCTCTCTCTCTCTCTCTCTCTCTCTCTCTCTCTCTCTCTCTCTCTCTCTCTCTCTCTCCTCTCTCTCTCTCTCTTCTCTCTCTCATTCTCTCTCTCTCATCTCTCTCTCCTCTCTCTCTCTCCTCTCTCTCCTCTCTCTACATTTTATTGTGGTGTATAAGGTACAATACATTCATACATTCATGTATAATACTATATTCATCATTATATGTATTAAATTGAGTAGAA